GCACTTTCGGATTTCGATACTTGGCGCCATCCGGCATTCTGGCGCCCAGTCCTGAGGCAAATTGCACTTCTGCCCTCGGGACTGAACTTGAGTCCGGTACTGAAGACCGGACTCAAGCCCAGTAGGCCCGTAGGGGCAACCAGTTTTCAGCTACTGTACTTGCTTTGTGTGACTTGCCTCTCCGGCATCGAGATTCGAAGACTTCGACTTTGAGACTCCGCTACTTTGTCTGTGTCCATCGAGTCCGTCAGTCTTGTCGAGTGAGTGAGTGTGTGTGTGTGTGTGCTCTCTCTCACTCTCTCTCTCTCCCTCTCCTCTCCTTCCTCTCTCTCTCTCTCTCTCTCTCTCTCTCTCTCTCTCTCTCTCTCTCTCTCTCTCTCTCTCTCCTCTGCCTCTCGCTTGTTACAAGACATCGCTTTCAACTGAAAACTCGCCCATGCTTATCCATACCAGGTCTCCCTCCTTGAATACAGAGAATGGCGGCGGTGCTTATATGGCTTGATCAGCCATGGCCTGTTGTGTGTGCCTTCTTCATACCCGTGATAGCCTGTTGGGGTTATTCAGCAAAATATTATGGTGAACTCCGTTGTCCCAAGAGGGTGCTTGGGCTGCTGATCCAGGACCAGAGAGTCCACGAGCATGCGAGGATTCCATCCACGTTGCAGCTCAGCAGGCGTACGGATGGTTGCAGGGTGCATCGAACTGTCGTAAACACCTGCTACCTTGGCCAAGTGTAGGTCCCAATCAATTTGATCAGGCCGTATCAGATGCCGCACAACTCGTTACACGGTCCTGTTCATTCGCTCTGTTTGGCCATCACTCTCCGGGTGATCGGCTGAACTCATATTGAGTTTGGTGTTGGTGAATTCCATCAGAGGCTTCCATAGTTCACTCGTGAATCGAAAGCCTCTGCAACAGAAAGAAGTGGAGGGATATTAAAAAAAAAAGAAAACAAAACGTGATGATTCAATTTCTGACTGTTCCGCCCATTGCACCAGAGCGGCTGTCCTCTGGAGGACGACTTAAAAAATAAAAAAAAAAATAAAAAAAAAAATAAAAAAAATTGATGATTCAAGTTCAGACTGTTCCGCCCATTGCACCAGAGCGGTTGTCCTCTGGACGAAGATATTATTACCAACTAGAAGCACTGCGATGACGCTGGTGCTGCGATGGCACTGATAAATGGTTGACGTGGCGCAACAAAATTGACTGACGGAGGCGCAAAAAAAAAAAAAAAAGACCACCTGCTACCTTGGTTTTCGTAGAACAAGTGGTCCCAGTGCAGTTCATGTGCTCTTCTTTTTTAGCTTTAATTTTTCTGTCTGGGGATTGCAGATTTGTAGGAAGAACGAACATGGACAAAGGGCATACACTACCGTATTCAGCCGAATAGAACGCCCAGTCATTTTAGCTGTAAATGGCACAACTTTCAGCCCAGATACGATGGATAATCACCGCGCGTTCTATTCGGTTGAAGACGGTAGTTTTTGGGGAAAATAAGGCGTGGCCGGAGGTTTTCCCTTCCATAATGTGGGGACGAATGTGTGAAATGCTCTGTTTGTGACCTGCAGGTCGGAGAGAGGAACCTGACGGACACTCCCAAGAACGGAGCTTTTGGGGGTATTTTCACACTCTAGCAGTTTTCCTAGTGAATTTGGCCACCCTTATGCCTAGATGCATCCAGGAAAATTCCAGTGTGAGTATGTG